TGAGCAGCTTTATCGAACTGGGAAGTGATCTCTTCGCACTTGTCGCCTTTATCATCCCCACAGTCAACTGTGTTTTGGAATCTAGGAAGGAATCTCACTGCTTGAGCTGTGGCTGCACTCTGTTTAACACAGTCATCCAAGATCACGTATCCTAACGTTATATTAGGTAGTAGGGATGGGTTCTGATTGATTTCATTCACTGCATACACCACAGCCTCAACGTACTGGAGCAACAGAGGAAATCGCATACGTTCCACACATAGCGACTCTCTGGAATATTCCGTGATCGCAAAAAAGGCTCCCAGGTTGATGTCGCCCAGGCTTACGTAAGATCTATCCGGAAGTTCATCTATTGGTTGTACTGCACTGAGCAAATTTGGTGCTCTGGATACCGTGGCGATTAAAATGATCAACACTTGTATGCATTTGGTCAACATTGTAAAATATTTACTAACCTTTCTTGTACCGATTTAAAAAACGTTTTGTGCAAAACCAAGATATCACAATGACACAGATTGAATTAAATCGTTGTGTTAACACTGGTTTATGGATACTCTTGTCCTGGAACTGGTAAATTCTACAAGCAAACGTGCCATGGTATCAGTTTGATATGTCTGGAATTATAACAAATAATCTTCGTCTCTTAGTGTGTAATATTTGTACACGCTGATGTAAGTGTGGATGATTTCTTTAGTAAGCGAGCCACAAGCAAAACCGTAGCTCCTATACATTCTTTCTATATGTGAGGATAGCAGAGTCCGGGTTTCAGTTACAGCAGCATCGTTAAACTCTATACGGCGAGCATATGATGTCACTCTCCTGCTGTAGAGGTCATGACCTGTACTGGCTTCACAGAAAAGACACGCACTGTTCCATTGAAATACATCTTTGACTATGACAAGGTTGCAAATATTATTGTTCCAACAAAATATATGTTTGCTGGGGTCACTTGGCTGAAGCTGCTAATCGACTTCGAACGCTTGTTTCCTTCATTCCTGTATACACAATCATTGGAAAGGAATCGTCTTATCTGTGTTTCCTTTATGTGTTTTTAGGTTTTGTTCGTGCTGAATTTTTTTACCGACGTTGTGCATTGGTGACATCAATAATGATAATCAGGTTCCGCTTTTAATAACCCTTCCCCCCTTTTTTTTTAAGGTGTCAACTTTGGGCTGAGAGTTTCCAGTTTGTGGCTATCATTTTTTTCTCTCTCTTTTCTTGAATGTGATTTCCTTTACTGTGAGTGGCAGTCAATACAGGCCCATGTATGCTTCGATCTATGTCTTTGGTAAACGATGCACACAATGTTAACCTTCTTCAAAATTGTTACTTCCTTACACTTTTTAGAACCTCAATTTCTCAGTCCTAGATTTAGGTACATGTAGCTTGTCTTGTTGTCTGTAAAATGTTTTGCTAGTTAAATGACAGAGTTTCTGCTGAAATCATGAACTTAGAACATTCTTGAGAGTGAAGCGATACATTCCTGGTCTTTATAACTCATTGTCGAGCTCTGGAATAGATGACACACGTCTAGAATCTCTTAGACTGAAAAATATTATTATTTTGAGAACATATTTGAACGTTAACATTATTTATATTTAATACACAAACTAGAATACTTTTTTCTTTTAGAATCTATAATAACTGTAGAATTTCAAAATTATCTTAACTAGAAAAATTTTTACGAAAACGTACATATTAAATCTTATTTTAACATACATTTATTCATTAACATGGCTTGTGTTGACATATATTACATTAAGACCTATTGTTTTAAGAATCGATGTATATTTCAAACATGTCATACAACTGTACTCCATTAATCATGTTTGAAAAGAATGCCTATTACAAATTTTTGTAATGGCAACGACAAACGGCAATTATATGAGAAATCACAACAACAAATAGATGAGAATTATCACTTAGGAGGTCCAATAGGTTGGAAACAGCAGTCAGGGAAGTAAAAACAAAAATTCAACAACAGACAGATGAGAAATAGTAGCTTGCAACTAAACAACCAAATAACAAATACGATTGACGGGGAAAAATAATTACAAAAAAAAAAAAAAAAAAAAAAACGAAATGTATTGACTAAAATCGCCTTTACTACAACAAATACCGAGAACCATCAGTATAAAACACTTCAATGCAAAATATACATTATAACACCATATAAGGGAGAAATCGCAAAGACAACAACAAATAGATGAGAAATTGCAGGCACATTAGCAAAAACAAGAGAAATGGCCATCAGTAATCGGTCGTAATAATCTCTTTAAGCTATCAATCTTTAGCTGTTTAGACAGAAGAGTACTTTTGAGTCTAAAAGCTTAATGCAGTGGCAGATGGGCTAGTAATTATTAAAAACACAAACACTATATTCCCCGACAACAAACATAATTCCTGGCGGAAACGTATTGAGTCTCTAAATACTCCAAATTATGATTAGTGATTAGCTAGCAAATTTTTCAGTGTTAATTCCAATCCAACAGTCGGGTACCATGATTGTAGGCCCAGCTGACCACCAGCCACATTTATATGAATTAATCCTGCCTTCACTAGACAATAAATCTGGCACCACAGTGCTTGCAAGTACTGCACTAACAACTACACTACTTTAGCACACTTCCATCGCCAAATTTAAAACACAAAAAATTGTTTTGGTGCCTAATACTTTTTCTGAAAGTTAAACTTGCTGAAAATAATTAATGCCAGTAAAATGAAGCAACGACTGCAAGTGATAGTTAATAGCTTAACGTAACACAAAAACACTGAGCGAATATCCCATTTCAGACAGAAAAAAGTTATACAATTGAAACCAAAAACAGCATATTTTCTAACCGCCACTCTGCCCATAAAAATAATGTTTCAAAAAAATACTCACGGTAGACAGGAGATGAGCTGTATTTTTGCGTTGCTCGGCTGCACGAGTCAAATAATTAATCACCTTAGAATGGTTTTCAAACTGTGTGTCTGTGATGCCATATGATAACGTAATAAAGGGGTGTTTTCGTCGATCGCTCATGATGATGACTCGTTCTTTGATCAGCTATATGAGGGTTAATGGATACCTATACGACTGATAAGACCAGTCAGATGTTGAATCTTACAGACAGTGGATCAGAGAATCTGTTGCGGAATTCAGTCTACAGCCATTTATGATCTTAAACTGCTGCTGCTGTTTTGACCAGCTCGCATGCTACTGCTTCCTGACGAACTCATGAGCGCCAGAATGAAAGGTCTGATTCCTTCAACGAGGTGTGTGGTAGTTCTCAATGAAATGGTTATCGTATTAACCTTACCAACGTTTTCTTTTTGGTATCTCACTGTAAAAGATATGTATGCAGAATCTGGTCTGAAATGCAGACTCTTTGACTTTCCAAAGTAAGTCGGAATTGTTTCAGACATGTTTGGATTGCAGGCTGGCTAGCAATACAGTAACACATCCAGAAAATATGTCTAGTAACTTCCATCATATTGGAAGTAAATAAGGGGAGGGGAGAAAAAAAAAGGGGGGGGGGTGGTCTAGGATTTGTAAGGAAACGAAAAATTCAATTGTCATGGTATCGCAGAATCTGACCCCTATATTTGACAGCTATCAACATCCTTATCTGCACAAGTCAGCAGTATAGGCCGGGGCGATACTTGTTGTAGCCATTCGCGTGCAATAATTATAACTTATTTAGAGGTTGAAGAGGCTATCTATGATTATCTTGCTTCAGTTGAATCCAAATTGAGACTTTCAGGCGCATGGTAGTCTCCAGATAGCAGCCTCCAGATAGCAGCCATAAGGGGGAAAGGGGAAACAGCCAGGTTAACACTTTAATTAAGTGTCATAAGCCTCTAACTGTACCTTTTTCAAATAGATATTATGCTTTTTTTTTTTAATTAAATGCCTTATTCCTGGTTTTTTTTATTTTTTTATTATTATTTTTATTATTTAAATACAAGATGAACAATTGAGATAAAATAATATCACATCAAATATTTGACTGTCAATACCCAGCAATTTACAGAACTTTTGTGTTTTTCTTCTTGTATATAATTCTCTTACTTCTTTCTGCCTCACTGTTTTATGCTGCTTGAGAGATAATACAGAGACTCAAATATTTACATATTCACACACGCACATACACGGAGAGGCAACAATAAATATAGACAGACAGACAGACAGACAGACAGACAGACAGACAGACAGACAGACAGACAGACAGACAGACAGACAGACAGACAGACAGACAGACAGACAGACAGACTGACAGTCCGACTGACAGACCGATTAACAGACCGACAGACAGGCAGAGATAAATAAATAGGTAGTAGGTAGGTAGGTAGGTAGGTACCTAGGTAGGTAGACAGATAGATAGGTAGTCACTTTGAAAGAGAAAAATCGATAACGACGTGGGGAAGTTCAGCTGTAACCAGACTTGAAAGGCTACAAACCCGGCACTATCTGTCAGTGTTATCTCTGTTTGCAGACAGGTGCGTCACTGCGCTGTTTTCAACAGCAGAGCTTGATAACGTGGACATGTAACCGTATATCATGATTGCTGTTTTAAGCTTACACTAGTGGATGCAGTATATAATATCAATAGGAATAAACTCACAGGGAGCAAGTACAGCGGGGATCTACCAGTCGTCAGTAGAAATTATCCTCGGCCCACGATTCCTAGACGTATTCGGAGGTGGGCCCACCTGAGTTCATGACGCTCAGGGCTGGTTCCCCGCTGCACGGAATTACCGGATGGTGTTATACTTTCGGCCAGAGACAAGACGACTTGGTGGTTTCGAAGGAGGTACTGTGAGATAAGAAGCCGCCACGGCAGCTTAATTAGAGCAGTCAGCGTGCCTGGACGACCGAGCGACAAACTTACTTTGGTTTACCGGACACATGTTGGACTTTTATTAGCAGTTGACAGAGGAACACTGGCAGACAATTCGGACACGATGGACTTTCAAAGGGATGAGAAACTCTTTTCCACTAGACACCCGGACCAGCTCACCGAGGCCCGTCCCCTACGTTGTTGCGCTGCGTCCAAAGCCAGCTAGAGGCCCTTTCGGCTGCCTCTCCCAGTTTTTTGAGTGCTCGTTTCCGTTCATTACCACGCAATCCTAGTTCTTTCACCACATTGTAGAGCGAAGTGGAAACGAGGCCTCTCGCGCCCACTTCGACGGCAAATACCCGTACTGTGTAAGCCTCGTTTCTCCTCAAACCGGCTGCTAAATCATTGTACTTTTCGAGCTTGTACAAATGATTCTCCTCCATACGCGACTCAAACGGGACCGTCAACTCAATCAGGATGAGTTGCCGTTTTTGCGCAGAATGGAGATCGATGTCCGGTCGCAGGCCGGTTTTACGGATCAACTCGGGATACTGTTCATGGCCTGGCAGATCAACCGCCAGTAACCAGTCCCTCGCAGAGTCTAGCACAGATGG